TGGCATTGTCATGGCATTGGTGCAGTGTGCATGCAGATGGATTTGAAGACCCAACACTCTGCAGCATTGTTGGCTCATTTGTCACACACCAGTCAGCAATGGCTGAAAGAAGAAAGAGAGGAGGGCTGTCCCCTGTCAGCCAACACACCTGAACCAGCTCAGCTTTGGAATGACAGGAGATGAACTGTGGTCGTAAGTGAAACCAGCGCCTGCTGGCTTACAGGACCTGGATTTCACACCACAATCCTTGCTGGCTTTCCTACCCCAGCTGCACTTATATTAAATAGGAATCTGTAAGCTGTTGTATATTTAAAGCTGTACTTGCTGAAGTCTGCTCTGATTATATTAAAAATAATGAAGACCTATAATAGTTTCCAGTGGTTTTGCTTAATCCTAATGTTCTTTGCAGCACATAGAGACAGTGTCTAGTTTCAGTAGCTTCAGTAGATGCCAAAAACTGATGCCTTGTGAAGGCTGACCTAAAACAGAGACTAGACGGAGCTAAAGAGTAAAGCAGGTATTTATGAAGAGGCCTCAAATAGACCACCTTGGGCAGCATGACCCAAAATGGCCACAAAATGGACGACAGATTCCAGGGTCTAACACTTTCATAAGTTTTGGTCCATTAGCATACTGGAGCTAATTGTCCAATTACAGCTTTAGCCCATGAAGTCCCATCCTTCTTGTTTTCTCTCTGAGTCCCATCCTTCTTGTTTTCTCTCTTCAGTCCATCATTGTTTATGCTCTTGGCTTGAGATCTGGATCACTTGTCCTTGGTCCCCAGCTAGAGAAGGAACTGTTTTGTCTACATATTCTGTGGAGAGAGCTTACTATCACCTAAGATGAAGCCTAGGCTTACACACTAAAGCAGAATAGAATCTGAACAATATAAAAGCCAAAACCTGAGGAATCAGCTGAGTTTATTTACTTTGCCTAAAATGCCTACTGAAGATCAATCTGGCATCTCCTATGACATCAAGGAAGGAAAAAGAGGTACTAACACATGGAAGGTGTCCACAATTTTGACCTTCAAAAACACTGAGGTAATTCTTATAGAATGTTTACAGAGTTTAAAATGTTTTACCTGTCTACCCTGTTTGTCAAAAAAACCACAAATCATGTATTATCAACCATATGCTACTGTCAAACATGTCTTTGAGTAACTGTCTTATCATTACAGCTCTTGGTATGGAGCCAAGCACTGAGACACAGTGCTTATATTTGTATTTTCTTGAAAGTTCTTAATGCATTGTATTACATTCCAATTATAGCAATATAAATCTAAGATGATTACTTCATATAAAATAAATATATACTTTTTGGCAAAAATGTACAATTTGCTTAAGTCCAAAAAAGTCCAGAGCATTACACTGTAAAACAGAAAATACCTGTTTACCATTAAGTCTCTTTAGTGTTCCTTCTACACTTGCTCCAAAGAGACACTTAGTAAAAGAACAGTGAATTATGAATTATTATTGCTAGTGCTGCGTCATCATTGGTTTAACAGCAAGTCAGAATAGGAAAAAACTAAATCTGGAGAAGCTGCAAACCCTGATTTAATGGCTATAAAGGTGCACTTTGTTAGTGAATTATTATTCATAAACCATTCAGTGTCTTAATACTGAATCTTGCCTATTAAATCAAAGACTACTGCCTTTAAGTGTTCTTTGCTCTTTTCAACCATGTTTTTTATCCATATCCAAAGAAAAGAACAAACATTTTTTCTTTTGTGGGAGGGAGAAAGGGGATATATGTATGTATGCACTTGGGGAAACTTGACTCAAGTAATTGCAGAAACCTATACAGAAACACTGCTAAAGAGCAGATTTTAGTCCATTATCCTGAAATCTTAAATGTCAAGAAGGAGAAGCAAATTGCAAATTAAGCAGTTCAACTACATGATGACTGATGCATTGTGAGTAATAGCCAAAGACTAAGTAACATTCATCTGTCTAACAGAAACTACCAGCTCTATGGTTCATGCACCATATACCATAGAAACCCATAATAAACTGATACTACATGAAAATTAATTAATCAAAGTCAAATAAAATAAGCATTTGGAATTATAAAATCATCTTTGTCATTACAAGCAGATAAATTATTAGAATTTAAATGCATTATATTGCATCGCTTCATTAAGTAAATCTGCCATTTGTTAAAAAAAAAACCCAACTAAACCAAACAGTGTAACAAGGAGACAAACATACTGGATGAATAAAACTAAAATTTTTTAAAATCCTGAAGAAAGACATGCAAATGGAAAAATTTGAAGGATTCACATGTTCCATTTTCATAGATGAAATGCACCTGAACAATTATGCATTTGGCCCTGTGAAAGCTACCTAAATCTAAAATTAAGTTATATTATAAATAATCTTATAAGAACTAGCCTTTGACTTTCTCTATATGGCATCTTTCAATACCTTACTATTTTTTGAAGACATGCATCAACATTTTAAACCTATTTTCTGTCAACTAGCATTTCTCTCCATTTAAGAAACATTTAAAAACCAGCTTGTTCACTGGTTAACAAACTTAAGACAAAACAATCTCTATTCAATATGAATTTTGCTTTCTCTTAACCCCCTACCCCCTGCAAGGGAAGAGGGGAGGATGAAAATAGAGTATTTTTAAATGTTCCTAGAGTGAGGAAAACATTACCTTTTGGAAACCACACCTTTGAATTTCTTGAAGAAAATAAATTCTGATCTTATCACTTTATCAGCTTCTCAAGTTCCCCTTACATCCATTTAGTCATAGATTTCATATAGCTAATGCAACCACTATCTCTTTCACTATTTCTCTGACCATTCCATAATTTAGAGCTTCTGTTCTCTAACACCAAAAATATATTCAGAAAGAAATGAAAGTTCTCTTTTAGACTTAGCTCTATTAGGCATATAAATGGTCCAAACTGAGAGGGTTAATTAGAGCTTTAGCCTTACTTTTTTGCTACTTGCCCAGAGGCTTGTGTTGAATTTTATATACTAAATGTGTAATTGAGCTTGGAAAATTGAAAGTTAGATGATTTAAAATAAATTTATACAGATGTAAAAAAGAAAATATAATAAAAATGAAGCAATTTCATTCAAAGCCAAGTGCTTGAATAATAATTTTTTAAAAAACCAACCAGAAGCTTAGAGCAGTGCTAGAGAACCCTGAGAAGGAATGATGTGCTTACAATGTTATTTCTTCATATTTATGGAAAACTCTTTGAGACTGGACTTACTTCTTTGACAATATTATATTGCAGGATATTTGCCTCACAGACTCTGATGTCTAATAAAAATTATTTAAATGACATCAATTGAACCAGTTACACAAAATATACATAAAAGAACTAACAGTGGTTTTTTTTGTTCACAGCTTACTAGATTTTGATAAAAGGCAGTATAGTTAGCTATGCATTTGATACATTCTCAGGTCCTACTTGCACCTCATTCAAAAATGTCATTAGAGAAAATTTGGTTTTAAGCAAATTTTCCAGTATTCTAAACAACTTGCTCGCAAATATTTTGCTCAATGTTTTAGGGTGCCAGACAAAAAAGAAAATTAGGCAAGTGTGATGACAAATGTTTTGCTCTTAGAAAAGCACAAATATGCGTGAGTTTCTCTTAGCAAGAAATGCTGATAAAATATTGACCAAGATAACAGATTAATGTCTCTAAAGAGAAGGCAGAGATGAACAGAGGCTGCATTCTTATAAGCAATGATTGGTTAGGTTGTGTGCCAGATTGCTGGCTGAGAGAGCTCGACCAAGATGTACTGGAATAACTTCTGTAACATTTAAATTTATCAATGACAAATTGTTCTCATCTCTACCTGATGAGAATAACAAGATTCAAACATTTCACCATATGTAAAATGATAATTTACTGTCCAGAAGCAGCTAGAAATGCACACTTAATATTTCATTTTCATTTTCCCTCACGCAGTCCCAAACCACTTGATACACTTTTGCTATAGTTTATAAACTCATTGGAATCAGGCTGTATATTTCCTTCCCACTACAAATCATGCACCTCAGTGACATTTTAGTGCAAATATGATTTGTATCTGGATAATAAACAAGAAAGAAAAATGTATTTCCATAATAATTTTCAGACTTGCTGCAGCTAAAGTTTTGATGAGTCTGTTAACTTCACAGCTCTGGTGAAGTACTGGGAATCTTCTCCCACTGCACAAGCAAATATATAAATACCAAAAAAAGTTGCTGCACCTTAATAAACATTGAATGCACACGCTAAGAGAATGAAAATATGAGTTAAATTTCCAGTTAAAAACAAATGCTGCATTTATGCACTGAATCTTGATCTCCTGACTACTGCCCTAATTCCTTAAGAGAAACTTAGAACTTTTTCTCACTATTAATAGATGTGTAGCACTGAAGTTCCTTAACATCATATCAGGTTTTACTTGGGTGACTAAATACAGATTGAAGTGCTCAGCTTCTGTTTGATTTTAAAAGTTACAACCACTCATTTATGCTATTTTCAGTAGGGATTCCTACAATTAGGTACTGATAAAGTAAAATTAAGAAAAACACTCTGATTCACTTTACACTTACCAGAGTTTTCCAAATTCACAATCTATTTCTACTAAACTTCCAGTATTTTACAAAAATAAAATTATTTCAAGGTAAAGAAAAAATTATTACCCTCATACAGCCAGCTGAAGTACTCTGTCTATTACTGAACAACAGTTCAGCCAAAAGTGAGTGCTTGTACCCAGTCTGAAGAAAAAACTAATTAGTGTTGACAGCAATTCATGCAAATGGAATTAAAATGAAGAACACTTTGGCAAAAAGAAGACCAAGACTTTCTAGTTCTGAGAAAGCTGCAGAAAGAGAAAGTGAAGTTTTTGTTCCATAGAAACAAACCTGAAAGAAAAATATTCAAGGCAAAACTATATCCACCTGTAGAAAGGCAAAACGTATTATAAGAAATCCAGGAAGTGTTATTTTTGTAATGAGATCTCTACTTTGTGTCATATCTTACCTTTCTCTGTTAAATTTCAGAGAATGTAGAATAGCTGGTCGTTTCTGTCGGAGGTTCCACAAATGAAGTGCATCATCTGCACATGCACTGACCAAAGCACCCTAGAGCAGACACAAAATACAGCAACACATAATTTTCTGCAGGTTCTATATTATTCTTACATGATACTCACTGTTTAATACCTATCTGTAAAAGTGACAGTTTATGAAAAATCATTCCTTTCTTCTAGAACAAAAATACTGTACCACAAATAATACAATTCAATCTGGTAAATGTAAACATTTTAAATTAGTACAAGATCAGCCAAAGTTAAATTAAAACTCCATTGATTTAACACTTAAAGTTTTGTACCAAGGTTTCACAAGCCAACTCTCAAGTCTTTCCGCATAAGCAGAAAGATTAACAAAATGGAAAAGAGAAAACATTTACTTTAAAAAGGGAGTGTGAAAGATATAACTGAAGGATAAAGGAATTAGTGCATGCTCAGGCACATATGTAACAGTGTCAAGCACAGCTTAGTAGTCATATCAAGGTAAAATGAAAATTCAAAACTGGAACTGTGAAAAGAGGATGCAGATAAGAAAGTAGGGACAGGTAGCAAGAGGACAGGAAGAACTAAGAGATGTAGACAGAAGGACAGAGTCTTTATCACAGATCAGAAATACTCTCAAGACTGGTTCTGCTTGTGGTGAAGCAAAAATGGTCATCTTTCAAATCCCACGCCTCTATCTGACTGAGAAACTTGGAGTGAATTTTTAACTGCCTTTCTCCTCACCACAGAACACTGATGAATGTGAAAATTACCTACAGGGGAAGCTCCCTACTGCTCCTGGCACACTTACACCTCAGATCAGGCCAGGCACAGATCTACCCTTGTGTACGACCACCACAGAGAGGAACAACTGCCCAAAAACAAGGCGATGCTTTATCTGAGGAAGGGCAAGCATGTAACTGGAAAGATTAGTTCCTACAATCTATGAATGACTGATAAACTTCCCTAATCCTAGCAAATGTTCTTTTCAACGTTGACCCATGCAAATAAAATATAAGGAGGTGAGACTTCTCCATACAGTGACTCCATACAGTCTCCATAGGAGACTTCTCTAATACAGTGTAATCCATGCTTTAATTCTGATCTCCCAGAGTCAGAAAGTCCACCACTGAAATCAAATTAATCCTATGTTTTTGGGGGCTTGCTGGTCACCAAATGAAAAGAAAGAATACTGATTCAAACTTTGTCCTTGTTCTCATCCCTGCATTCCTCTTAAGAATTTCACTGGACTGTTTCATCCCTCCCCAGTGTCTGTGGTTCAGTTACTTTCTCCAAATAGGCGTAGGAAAAAATTAAATATTTTTCAGGTTTAAAAAAACCCATAAAACTAAAACTCTTCTCCTGAGAAGTTCTAAAATCTTCCCATTTACAAAGAGAACCTGCAACTGTCAAAAGTGTTTTCTTATGTCATGGGAGAAAATTAACCAAAACTGAACTAAGATTTGGCCAACTTCTAAGGTCCTCAAAAAAAACCCCTCTGATTTGCGCTCACCAGAAAGTCTTCTTGCCTATTCCCATCTTCAGAACCTTCTGCAAAGAGCAAGCTATAATCTGGCATTGTTTCTTCATGTTGTCTAAATTTGATTTTGACAAACCACTTACAAAGCATGATGGTTTGATTGATGATCCCTGCAATTGCTTTTCATTGCTTTACGTAACAGCATATCCCCAACTATTGAGTTTTCAGCCAATAACCATCAATATATTTTGATAGAAAGATTTAACTAATTTATTAATTTCTATTTGAACCAGAACAGTGCAGCATATTTAGCAACTTAATGGATTTTACATCATTTTACACACATTCATGTATCGACTGCCTTTTGTTCACTACTTTAAACTGATGTATAGGAAGGCAATACTTTTCCTTGAGTGCAGTCCCATAAATATTCTTCTAAAAGGCTGTATGTTGAAAGTCCTCTGGATGTACACCACTTATTTGTTGGCACAATTTGTCAATGGGAGAAGTTATATCACTCAATTGCAATAACATGAATTGACTTCTTCAACTAAATTTATACAGAAGAATCTGAGTAAATATGTCCTTACCTCATTGATTAAGAACTGGAGCTGCAGAACTGCAGCACCACTTTCATGTTGGCAGTAGCAATCAACACCAGGCCTGCCCAATCTGTTGTCATCAAAGTCAAGGATTCTAACATTTCTGTTATCACCAGAAGTAAAGAAGGAAAGAAAAAACTACGAATTAAACTCTAATTAACCTTTAATTAACCTCAATTCTTCTTGCTTTCTGTAAAACAAAAGAATTCATGCTGACATTCCACTATTCTAATTAAAGTACCAACACCAGCAGCCTGAAACATGTGCAGTTGTGAGTGATCTGTTCTACCCAATTTTTTTTCCTGTGAAATAAAGTACATGAATTAACATATAAATTCAGCAGGATGCATCTTAAATTTATTTTTATACATTATTGGTTTATATAACATATGAATGTACCCGTTTTTTGTACTTATCAAGACTAGACATATAATGAATCTAGTTTTTTATCTGTTCTCTTCAGGTCTTTTTCTGTGCATGCTAAATTGTCATCTCCCTAACTTAGAGGATGATGGCCTTTCTCATCTGAGTCAGAGACTTCAGCAAGAAACTGTTGTTCCAGAAAATTACTGAAGATCAAAAATAATGCAAAAGGAGAAATATGAAATATGTCATTAGCAACCATATTGTGTGAAACATATGAAACACCACATATTAAAAGTAGCAGGATTATGATTAGAAACAATATTTTACAATATAGAGCTTGATCCAATTGTAATATACAAACATATTAACATATTGTAAAACCTTGACCAAAAAAGCCAACTGTCCACTTATTTTAGCTGCAGGTAAATGTCAGAATCTTTACTTCCCTTTTCACAGGAGAAAGACGTACAATAAACCATTCTAATATTGGTCTCCAGAAAGTATTATCTATTAATTAGTAAATTTGAGGTTTAGAAGCTCCAAGTATGAAGCAATTGCTCTTCCAACTGTTAAACAAGCAGCTTAATGGATACCACTTACCTTGAGACCTGAACTCTACTCTTGATTTTGTCAATTGGTCTAGTGGATGACCTTTGGGGGAAAAGAAGTATTTTTTCTTACCTGAGCCTCCATCTCTCTATTTGTAAGATGGAGATAGAGTTTTATAAAACTGGTGTTTATAGATGAAAAGTTGTGTATAAAACACTGTAACTACAGAACACCAAGGCAGAGAAAAAGAAATAACTCTATTTGCTGCTTGCTCCCAAGCTGTAGTCATGGATACAATCATATCTGATAAAATAATAAAAACTTGCCTCTTTTAAACAACCTATTCAAAATGGACAATAAAGATGTAGTGTAGTCTAAGGCACTTTCTATGTGTTGATGGTAATCCTCTGGTCCATTCTGAATGACTGTTCTGTGGCACTCTTTTCTAACATTTAACAAGCACTTCATGTAATGTGAGAGAAAGTACCAAAACCAAAAAAGCAAGTCACCAACCCACCTGGGATTTCAAGCTAACTGGAACTTTTAAGAGATAAGTGCTTTCCTTTTAAACTGAGTTTAATACTCAGTACAAATGCATGGCACTACTTAATGATTGTCCTTAATGAAAATTACAGCTGCATTGCCTTGATTAAGTGTCTGTCACCCTTCAGCATCAGTTCAGTATCATGCTAAGTCAGTTTTCTAGGAAACATCCTAACAAAGTAGATGATTTCACTCAGCATATCCCAAACAAACAAAGCACTCTCCAAAAATTCACATTTATATGCACCAGTGTTCACCCTGAAAAACAAATTACTAAAGTACTCACAAATTACTAAAATAAGAGAGAAATTGTGCTGTCTGCTTCATTCTGGCCAGTTGCCCTGAAGTGAGAACTGATGCTTAAATAGCAGCATTAGCACTGACTGCTGGTGGTTTTCAAACATTCTGGGAGCTGCAGTGAGGTCCTTCCAGCAGAAGGAGCTGAAGAGATATGATGACTTGGCACATGTTCTTGGCACTTGAGGCCATCTTCTGCAAATTCTGTGCTTTGCTGCCAAGCATGGAGAAGTACGACCTTACCTCATCAAATCTTTTCATAGCAGTGTATTACAACAGGACATACAGCAGAAGTACCTATAGTTCAGACTTTGGACTGACTTTATTCTTTTTACTTTTCCCTTTTTCTTAAATGATGACTGCTATCAGGGAGAATGGAATATCTCTGAGGATATTAAAAGGGGGGACCAATACATCTAAATACTGCAAAGTAGACACCATGGGTTTCAAGAATAAAAGCTAGTCACTATCTTCTCTCTTATCAGTATGTTGGATCTCCCAGGGGCCTTTAAAGCCATGCCAGATTATCCTAATTTATACATAAAGGAAAAAGATGAAAACTAAGTCTGGATGTCTTTCGGGATCTAGAGCGAAACAAGTAAAATTAGAATTACGTGCACCAAGCAGTGACAGTATGACAGTAATAACATTCTAAAAGAAAAGTGTTCTTTCTGAAAACGACACTTAATCTTGGTTTTAAGACCTGTGAGAGTGAAATGGGATTTTTTGCTCTTCATTCACTTGTATGCAACATTTTTTCACTGAGTATTTCAACATCCTGATATTCCAAAGCTTATAATTACTTGGGAAAAAATCAGTTGCTAAGATGACTAATTTTAAATACTTGGATTCATCTTCCAAGATGTAGATTTTCATGACAGCATAATACATTAGTAACCAAGAATTTACACTCTCACATCCTGGAAATTAAACTTGTCAGTGAATGATTACATTCATGATTAGAGGTAACAATGACCAAATCTTCTCATAGCATGATCTATGACCACTCTCCACAGTACCCCACAGCTTTTTTATTCCATGACTCATTTTTACTATGTGACACACACAGATCTGATGTGTCTCATTCTTCTCAGAGGTTAGTACTGATGGAATCCAAAGACTTGCAAGTCCTTGGTGTTCACTAAGAACCAAAAGCGCAGATACTTCAGAACTGACTCATGAAGTTGAGGCCAGTGTCACTTGCAGCAGCTATTTAACTTCTTAGGATCAGAAGGGGATCATTTAACTTCTTAGGATCAGAGGTAGGACATGCTTTCCTTCATTAGGACAGTGACTCTTTAGTAGTGTGAGATTAAATCTTTCAGCAATAACAAGGACGGCAGTGTGATTCATTCCTCTTTGCAGGGGCAGGGAAGTGAAGATACAGTGTCATAAAGAATCTCCTTCCAAGGCAGATAGTGGATATCTCAAGCAAAAACTCCTAAATCACATATGGCACCTTTTTCAAAACCAAAACACTTCCATAGAAGAAAATGACACCAAGCTCTGTAAATAAGCAGCTATAACTTTTTTTTGGGTACTCAACTAACTTTTTCCATGACTAAGAACAATCTATGTACAGAAATGAACATTAGAGCAGAAACTATGGTCTCACATCTACTATTTTATTAAAATGATACATACAGAAATGGGAAATCTCCATTTACAGCCTCTCCTTTAAAACATTTGGGAATTGTGGGGTGCTGCAGAAGTAACATTGCTGCTCTGAGTCCTTGTCATCTGATCTGCACTGACTGGTACATGTTTGAGTAGGACTATGCAGCACCCTAAGAGCAGATGCTTGTGGGCTGGTGTTACTCCATTACATAAACCAACTGCAGAATTGACTTGGGGTGTAACTTGAATATAGGACAGCTTTTTCTTGCAGAAGACTTATTCCACTGAATTGAGTGATTTATCAGTTTAAAAAGCACCAATGGATTTATCCAAATAGTCAAGTACTAGAATGATCAAAGAATTCAACCACACCACTGACCACCTAAACCAACCAGAAGGTTTGTCAGTTGTGTCTGTGTCGCGGGGCAGACCTTGTCAAAAGATAACAATTATGGAAACAGCACCTTTAGCACCTAGATTTGCAGGTCTGAACATAGCTACTTTCAGTTCCTGGAATACATATTTTTACAGTTCCCTCATGAAGTTTCTCCATGTCTCATACACATTAATTTTCTGCTAAGGACAGTGCATATTCTGGTACAAATAAATGCCACAGTCCTAAGTCCTAAATAAATGTCTAAGTCCTGAGTACAAAACTGGAGTTCAAACTGATTTTTTCTCTCTTTACATGAACCATTCTATATTTTGATTTCTGAAGTGTATTGCTCCAGTGTTTTGTTATCCTCACTATTAAGAATGTCATGCTATATGTGGAATCAATACATCTAGCTTCAGTTTCAAGCTTTTGCATCTCATTACATCTTTTTATGCTAAATTAAATACCTTCATATTAGCAGAAATTTCCTGCTTTGAAAGCTATATCTTATCAATCTTCTTCATAAATAAAAGCAAAAACTCCGAGCTCCTTTACTTTCATGTCACCAGCAATTTTCTTAGCTTTGAATAGTTCCTGTCTGTTTTCATACATAGTCTAGAATGTGTATTCAACTTGTTTCAAGTCTCAAAACCAAGCCACACACATCATCTTGGTAATGGTTTCTTTAATACAATGTAAAAACAAAAACATAGACAGCATTTTGTAATTTCTTATGTTCAATATAGTTTTTTAATGCATGTGTGTACCACCTATTTATTACAATAACAAATAGGGAAATCATATTGGTTTTGGGTTTTGAGACTTCTCCATTACTCTTCAAAAAATAAGCACTCCCTAAGAAGCTCCATTCTGTCAACTGCTTGTAGCTGAGCTCACTAAATTCCTTACAAAGGACACACAACCTCTTCGTACCTTTATGACCTTCTATTTGCTATAGATTCAGCAAATCTGAATCTGAATTTGCTGGGCACTGCTTCATTAAACAATATCTTGGTGGGTTTTGTTTTGAACATAGAAGGATTCGGTTTTACAATGAGCTTCATTATGTCTGGAGTTCATTCAGCTGGTTAAATAAATAGCTCTTTTTTTTTTTTTTCTCTCCACTATGAAAAGGTGAAATGCTGCTGCACTTGGCTGCTATCTTAGGATGCTATATGTGGAATCTTTCATAAATGCAAACTTTTTTGGCACCAATAAATATGAGACTTTGGTCTACAATGACCTTCATCTTGTTTATTTTTCTTGACATAGATTTCTCTGTTCATGCATACAAATTATGTAAGAGTCAATCTCAGGAACAG